GCTAAAGACCAAGTTCGAAAAATACATTTGACAGAAAAGCACTGTTTTCATTGTTTGAACTACAATAATGGTCATGTCACTGACATGTTCATCAAACGCAGAAAAGAGAAGAGAACAGTTGCCAAAGAAAAAAATTATTTCAGCTTCTTTTCAGCTCCTTAAGTAAACATAATGAATCAAATAAATTTATCAGTCTCAATTATTGGGAGAGAAACACACATGGAAATACACTATGCTTGTTTAAGAATAAACTCGATAGAAAAACTTACGGCATCTCCAGTTTAAACTGATAATAAGTGAAATTTATTCGTTGACAAATTATATAAGAAAACCCTGTACTCCAACTAAATCTGTTTAACGGACTTTTTTCACTTGTAGTATTTATTACTTCAAAAATTATTCATATGCAATGTGTTTTGAAATACCAGAGAAACTCGATTCATCAGAAGTATCACTGAAATTATTTTTTCTTCTAATAAAAATACGAATTAAAATTTTTGTTTGGTGATCTAGTTAGCATATAACGTGAGGCTTCCGCAAATTATAATTACATTTACAAGAGAAAATAATTTAATTCCAAGATAGCTTCTTTGTATTTTGCATCAATCTCTTTGGCGGGCCCACCAGCGGCCGAGCGGTAAAGTCGCTGAACGCTGGTAGTTCGGTCCGAGGTTCGAATCCCGCGAACGGGCTGGCTGCATGGGTGTTTTCGTGGTTTTCCCCATGTGTAACGTGTATACGAGCCAGTTTCCCTTAGAAAGTCCTCCACGAAAGGCCTCCCTCCTCTTAGGCAGATAGCCCTAGTGCGCTTTGCCATAATTAAATACACACACACACACAATCTCTTTGGCACACACTACTGCAGATATTTAAAATTTCTTTTCCTTATACTCTAAACCACTTAGATGTAATGAATACTATGAACTCATACCTGTTCTATACCTAGTAAAAAGGCAATGCATTCTAATCTTTTACTATTGCCGAGAAGGTACTGAAGTAATAAATTCATATATTATACATTTTCCAACTTTGAAAGTAAAATTTGAAAAGTGTAACAGTAAATGTTTCACGAATTTTAACATTTGAAAAAAGTCACTGTCTCAAATTAAATGCCGTAAATCAGGAAAAGCCGTCGCAGGGATAGCAAGGATTTTGCATCTTCCAACTGGAGGTGCTGATCACTTATGCCAGAACACCCTCGGTGAATGCGTGCTCTCGTGTAATCTTCCCTTTTTTATCCGTAAAAATTCAGGAAGTTAACACTGTTCCTTCTCTTTTGTCTTGCAGCAGTAATATTTTATACTGGCAAATGTGCATGCAAATGAAATCTGATATCACCAAATCACGGAAGTGATACATTTCGTCAGAAACTATTAGAATAAGCGTAATTTTTATGAAGCATGATGAAAGTATAAGTATAAAAATTAAATTTTTACATGAATTAATATTTGCTGTTTTAGCAGAAATGTGTAAGAGAAAACGAAAGCAAAATTTAGCAATATGTTACTGAAGATGTGAACAAAACTCAAAAAGCAGTAATATTAGCAAGCATAGTAAGTCTTCCTTCATGTAAAATATAGCCTATTATGCACAGTTATTATATATAAAGTATATGCGAAGTCATAAAATATTTATATATAACTTCCAAATGGATAATTTATTCTGACGAGTGTTGAAACATAAACACAAGAATTAGTTTGCAATTGTGAAGATGATATGAAAAACGAAACATAACAGCTGAGCAAGGAAGATAATTTCTGAATTTCATTACAGAAATAACTGAAATGCAATTATTTTTCTTCTTTTTACTATAACAATAACTTCCTGAATAGCACTAGACATTGCATTTTGGATGTAAATATAACTTATTATCAGACGCATTACTTCAAGAAGAACTGTGTAGGAAGCAAGTTCATAAAGAAAAATATCAGAAAAGGGAAAGATAAACTAGGGAAGTGTTTATGCTGAGCTTTCTAATCATCCCTCGCACTGGAGACGTTTATTTATTTATCTGTAGTTATGTGTGTGCTATATTTGTTGTTTTTTAAGTGATGCTAGTAACATAAAATTAAATTGATTATGCTATGGAGAAATCACAGGAGGATTTAAAAGACTGACCAGCATATTGCCGCTATCCGGAAATGAAGAAAAATTAAATGTAAATATGTATTACTGCAGTTTAAGGTCGAATGCGATAAAGCAATAATTTAATCCGATACCATGAAATTAAACTTGTTATGCACTCGAGAAATCACATGAAAATTAAGACAGACTTAAATATTTCGGTTAAAGAAATATTAAATATAAATATTTATTACAGCACTATACTTTACATAAACTAACTTTACATAAAATACCTGTAGTATCACACCATCACATAATAATCTACTTAAAGCAAAAGAAATTTTGCAATAATTTACTTATTTAGTTTCACGATTCGGCCTTCATATCATGTATACTATATCATTTATATCTTCATATCATGTATATCTATGCAAAACAAGACTCAAAGAAATTTCCATATGTAAGAAGCATTTAAACATTGCCTTCAAAATGAACAGCGCAATAGATCTCTCCTTTCCTGGCAACCATTAATAACTTTAATCTACTTAATTAGGAATTAATAGGGGGTTGTTAAGTATCATTCGTCCACATAAATTTTTATGGGATTAAATTTTAACCATGTATCAAATCCTTTAGGAGGCAACTAATAGGTTTTTCTTGGGGGCTTGAGGTTCCACTATTACCTTTTATATGACATTTTTAGAATGTTTTGTAATCTGCGTGTTTCATATACATGTTTTGCGAAGTTTTGAAGCGAAGTGAACAAGATAAAAGAAAGAAATAGCTTGAGTTATTAATTAAAATAAAAAGACCACAAAAATAAGATGAAAAGAAAGAAGAACATATAAACCATTATGAGTAATTTAATTGCTAATATTTTACAAAGGATTCGAACATGTATTGGTTACCTTAGAACGCGCATTCAGTCATAATATTCTCTATTTATCATAAGAAAAGGATTTAAAATCGCAGAATGATCATTTTTAGTTCACTGCAAAATGAATGTATATTGCACTCAAAACAGAGTTTGAATGTTATTCTCAGTAAAATATAATTAAATTTTTCATTTCTCTACTAATATGGTTCTATGTAATTGACGTTACCTATATTACGAAAGGAAATACATTTTGCTTTAAACTCCAACCTCCGTATAGTTGCCACTGATGAAAATGCAGTTTTATACAATAGGGAAAACCTGTGCTTCATTATGTGAAAAAAACTATAGGAAACTGAGTATGCCGTTGGTGATAATAAAAAACAACATATATAGGCAGCTTATCAAGCAACAGCTATTATTAACTAAAAGCCTAAATCTAAAATCTTAAATCTTGCCTAATCTTGTTTTGTTTCCAAAAGCATTTAAAATAAGGGAATTGGTAAAAATAAGCATTTCATCAGTTTGGTAATTTAAATGCGTACACGAATTTTGTTAATTTAAATACTTGCGAATACGCGTTTCAAACTCTAAAAACATTTTAAAATTCACTTCGAAGAACTTTATTCTTATATACATATATATATATATATTCAAATTTTATTCTAAATTTCACAATATCAAATAGTTTTATTCATTTTCATATGTTACTTTGTGGTTTGGTTTTGAATTCAGAAGAAATAATATAATTCTTTAAAGTTGTTGCTTTAAAATATGACTTTTTAAAAATACTTCTCAATATAAAACGGTGGAATTAAAACAGCTCAAAAATTAAAATAAAAAAGGAAAAATCTGTTCATCTTCTTATACCATTTGTTAAGAAATTTACTGTGAGGCAAAAAAAAATCTTTTATAAAAAATAGTATTTACATTTACTAGTTATGAAATTTAAACATTAAACGATTAATGTATTCACAAACCGTACAATACAAGAGGCCACAAATATCACTGTAAACTGAAATATTTAGAAAATTACAAGGCAAGCGCGCTTGATACACTAGAATTCAAACCTTTCTATGCAAAGATTTTATTTGCTTAACGAAATGGAAAAAGCAAAGCGATTATGCTTTATATTTAGCCATACCTTCATATAAGTTTTTTTTTTTTTTTTTTTTTTTTTTTTTTTTTGTTTTTTTTTTGTAAATTATTATTACTGTACGCTAAACTTAAGCATACAGCAAACATTAATTCAGAAAAAAAAAAAAAAAAAAAGAATGTGATTCAGTTGCTTGACAGCAAATGTCAGAGCTGTGCTCTTTAAAATATACCGAAGATCAAGTTGCAACATATACTCACAAACAAATACTGAACAAGGTGAATAAACGCTTAATAGGAAAGAAGATCAAAAAGAAGAAAACGGATCCGAAGTTATCCACCGGTTTGATTAATTTTGCTAAACATATTCATTCTTTGAAGAAGAACTAAAAAGTGAGCACAAACCTGAGTCTCTAATTAGAAAAACCGTAAGGCTTGTTACGAAAGGATTTTAATCTTGCGTTTCCAGGCTGAATGTGCATTGCTAAAAGCAGCCTAGACTTTAGTCTGAGATTCGAAAAAAGAAACAAAATAAAAAGCAATTATTAAAAAAACGCAGTGAAGTGGCCTAAAGCACGGAACCAGCGACGTCATATGGGTTATTCCCTCCTTCAAAATTGCTAAGCCATCCAACAGAGTGTTTGTTATTCTTTCGTTTACCGCACCACGGCCTTGATGGGAGCTAAAGGGAAAAGCTCAACGTTCAGGAAAATCTGTTACGAAAGCAAGGTTGGAGCCTGAATTCCGAATTAACTGATAGGATAACCCCTTATCTACCTGGCCGTGCAGGTGGGGAATTCCGTATGACAATTATTAGGCCGCACCGTTCCCAGAAGCTCTCTTGTGGAACGACAAATGAAACCGCAAACAAATAAATAAAGAAAGAGGAAAATCCAGTCCTTCGTTCAAATGCTCTCGATCGAAATCCGAAATTTAGAATGATTCTTCTATCATTCCATGATAACGTTGATGTTAGGAGTAGTGGCTTAACAGCGGATAGCTTAACATCGCCTCCAAGCTACCAAGTTTTGAGATGAATAGACACCCCACTCAGAGAAATGTCAACGGCAAAAAAGTTGTAAAAGAAACTCGGACAAAGTAATATCGGGAGAGCATTGTCCGAACGTCGAATGGTGGGTTACTACATTTGAAACATTGTCACCCACGCCTTCGCACGAAATGATTCACTAACGAGTGCAATCGCCAATTCCGAGATATATAATGGAGCTTCCGGATTTGGCAGAGTCCCTATACGCGCCTGGAATTCAAGAATAAATTCTGGAAGGACTTTTGCGAATGCCTGCCGTGTGAGTCCCACTGTGAGTCACTAGAGAGAGGAGGATTCCACCTGTGCTTCTTGCGAACCATCGATCGAGGTCCTTCCCCGAAAACTCCGCCTTGGTATCGATTCGGTCGCCAAGTTCCGCCAAAGGTATCGCCAGTGTGAGAAGTTTCGACGACGTGAGAAGTCCGCGTGCATGCAGTGGCGTTAAGGCCATGCGTGGGGCCTGGTCGGCTCTGCTCATGTTCCTTGCGACGACGGCCGCAGCGCATCTGGAACCGGAGGCGCAAGAGGCCTTACATATCCTGAAACAGAGGATTCTGTCAGATTTGGGAATGAAGAGACTACCGGACATTCGGGCTGTGAATATTTCCTCTGCCCAAGTCCAGCGCATGACGCGAAGGTATTTCAACAACGTGCGGAGAAGTGAACAGGAACTTCTAACATACCGTCATAAAGGTCAGAAATAGTTTTCTCCTTTTGCTCATATGGTTAAATATCAGACATGATAAGTGTGACAAATGATAACAGCAAATATTTGCTTTTAAAACTTCCACTTTAATTTTAAAAGGTTTAAAACTGTAATCCGTCTCTATTTCGTCAAACTCCTCTCCGTTATTTTGGTGCTGCCATCTAGTGAATACTAATGCTATTTCGGGTATACCTTACGTATTCCGAGACTATTACAGAGTAGAAACTGCAGCAAATTTACTGAAATCCTTAACAAATTGTTTGTTGCTTGCAGGAAAAATCTGAGTATCTTTGATGCTTCGGAGTTAACCAAATTTCCTGCCCGCTGCTTCACTCTTAATTTGCAATTAGTGCAAAAATTGGCTATTTGTTATGTTAATGGCCATTAGTTGCTTTTTAGATTTCCGATTGTTCTTAAATTAAGTACTTCTTACATCTGGAAAAGTTCCATAAACTGTTATCTTATGTTAAAAAATGATTTTTTCTTTCTTTTTTCTTTTCTTACTATTGTTCCATGAAAAGCACATATAAGAAAATTAGGAAAAATAACTGTAGGCTAATAATTCCCGATGTCTGAACAAAATGTGGTTGGCATAAGCTATGTATGCCTATATTTTCATGTGCATGCTGTATAAATGGTAATGAACATGCATATATACATATATAGTAAATATATCTGTATATATATGTGTGCCGGTGTAAATGCGATAAATAATATATTGCTACAACGAACTCGGAGGTTGTTTGTTATATGAGATTTATCTTTTAAGTAAAGGTCCACATTTGGCTGAGCGAATAAGTCCTCTGAACACTGGTAGTTCGACCCGGGTACAGCTCCCGGTGAATGGGCTGGCTGCGTGGGCGTTTCCGTGATTTTTCTTATTACAGCATGAATATGAGCTTTCTTCTCTTAGAAAGTCCTCCACGAAGTTATCCTTTCTAAGTGAAATCCAGTCCAATTAAATGAAACTAGTTGATTGTTACACATGAGAAAATGCGGAATTTTCTATGCAAAAAGTCTATTCCCCCCGCTCATAAAAGAATCTGGGATAAAATTACCTGACCTCATTGGTGCTATGTACGTATAGAAATCAGATGGAATGATGATTGCATTTTAATATTTTCTTACCAGCACGCTGGGCATATGCAAATTACTTTCAAGTAAATTGCATATGCCCAGCGTAAGACAAATACATGTATTCCTTTAATTAAAATTATGACAGCGAATGGTATTATGTAATGAAATAAATAATGAACCCAAAATGTAAAAAAGTTAATCTAATTCGATCAAATAATGTTAAAAAAATAGAAAAGCAAATTCTTACTTTAACAGTCTCAGATTACTAACGAGCAAAACATTGAAAAAAATCTTGATCTAAAAATTTCATAGAAAGTATTCTAAAATTTCAAAAGTATATGTTATGGTTTTCTTTAGTGAGGAAATGAAGCAGAAGTTTTATACAATAATGAAAATTAAATTAATTTAAATTTTCCATAATCTTTATTGAAAAAAAATAACAATAACATCATCAGTAGAAAATTAAATGAGATTCTCACAAAACCGTGTTGTTCAAGTTTTTGTAATTTTAATTCATAACACATCTCGTACATAACATATTACACTGAATTATAAACCAAGTATAATTAATCAGGTAATCTTAGGAAAAGAATAAACTAAACCTAGTAAGCCAAGAAATATGTTGCACCAAAATTCTAAAGTCTTATTTTCATAAACATTTGCCACAAGGCCTGCCGGGAAAAGAATTCAGACGACCGTTAATCAAGCCGTCTGATCACATGATCATTTCATTTTTAACAACTTGCCCCTCAATGAGGATTCATCAAACTTGTATATAGTAGTAGTATACATTCATACTGCAAAAACATTCGAGTTCCAGACACAAGCAAAACATATATATCATCTAAATAACTGAGAATTTAAATGAAACATTAAGCAATTTAAATATAACATTATCCAAATTTAAAAAAAAATATTCCCCTATGTTTTAAAAAATTATTTAATGGCCTCCTAAGAGAGCATACCATGACTGTGTGAAATTAAGTACATTTTAAATTATTAAATTTTTGCATGGAAGTTACTAGAAGACTCAAATGTTTAATTTCAGATTTATAAGAGTTTTAAAATAAGAGTGTTTGAGTTTTCTTTATAAAAAATGGCAGAAATGAAGAGCACAAACTGAGTATAAGCTGAGTAGAACGTACTAAGTAACGGAAACAAAATAATTAAAACAATCGCAGAAATCAATAAAAAATAACTCTATGTATTCTGGCTTTCCTAACTAGTTGTGATATTCCGAAAAAAAAAATGTTAGTGACTGATGACTGGTAACAGAATATCTTACTGGCTCTAGAGTGTAAGACGATGTTTTCTCCTGAAAGTACCGTTCAGGAATCCGTAGCTGTCTTATATACACATTCCTAACATATAAAACAGACCTAAGGTAATTTATCATTTATACTTAACTTTTATGTTAAAGGTAAACATATTCACTTAGTTTAACATTCAATTTATAAATTATGACACTTTCTTGCAGAAAACTTGGCAGCGTATGCTAAGTCTCCGTCCTAAGTCGCGTTGAATGCAAGCAATATTTTTCCTTTTAAACCACCTTAAGAAATGCAAGATTATCTTAAGTGGTGTGAGGTCCTTACATTTCAGGCCAGTAGGGTACTTTACTTTACTTATTATTTCACAAGGTTGCTGAAACTGTATTTTGGAAATGATAAAGTCCTCAAATTAATTTTTTATTGAGATTGAAAAAAGAGCAAAAATGGTTGTCAAATAGCTTAGAAGCGATATTATCAGGTATTAAACATACGTGAGAAGAAATTAAAGAATTTATCTTTCTCAAGCAATCATATTAAAATATGTGATAATATTATGGTCTTATTATGGTCCATTATTATGGTCTTAGTATTGCATATTTTAAATTTTTGTCAAAGATATTTAAATGTAATTTGACTTTTACTTACTTTAAGCAGTTCACACTCTGTTTATGAATTTTTAAAACGAATTCGTAGAGGACTTGGGAAGTGCCGTAATTGTTAGTGATTATGAGCTTTGATAGTCTAATATTATTTATAGAACAATAAATATACTCAAACTATCCTCAAAAATCTAGCAAAGTAATTTTGACACCAGGTTTCCCAAATTCTTAATAATATAATTCACTCAACTCACATTTACAAAGATTAATGAGAAAGATGTAAAATAAATTCCTTAAAAGAAAATTTGTTAAAAGATAAATAGCTGAAAATTGCATGTGCATATATTTCTTGAATAAATAAAGGAGACGGATTACGTATACTTAACCTCGATGACATTTCATTAAATTTTCAAATCTGATGCTACTTAATCAACGGGGAATATATATGTTAAAGCAGTTTCCCAAGGAGTATATAAGAAGGTTTGATAAACCTGCTTATTGTACATTCGATGTAACATACTAAACATTAAAATAATAAACAGTTTGTTTTCTTGAATAAACCAGAATAGTGTAAATACTGCAAAGTATCCTGAGTGTACAGCTACTGAAACGAGTATTTTCCTTTGAGTAATATTAAAATAATAACCAGTTTGTTTTCTTGAATAAACCAGAATAGTATAAATACTGCAAAGTATCCTGAGTGTACAGCTACTGAAACGAGTAATATTAAAATAATAACCAGTTTGTTTTATTGAATAAACTAGAATAGTATAAATACTGCGAAGTACCCTGAGTGTAGAGCTACGGAAACGAGTATTTTCCTTTGATTAATAATTATTAGAACAATTAATGTCAGTTTCGCGCCGCAGTCATAAATGTCAAATTTTGATAACATATAGCAGCGACAATAAAAGTTTAAAATGTAGAATAGTATCATACATGCATACTTGCACAGTAATAACAAGAGTGCATCTAGAATACTCATTCCAAGTTCTTCATATTCTTCATTGGAGAATGTGAAGAATTTTGAAGAATTATTTGTGAATATTAAGAAGGAATTAGACCAAGAAGCGAAAAGAAATATTTCAGATTTGAAATAAAATCAACAAAAATCCAAATTTACGTGAAGATTTGGTAAAAATGGTAAGCTAAACCTATTAATAAAAATGAAGATATGTTAAAAAATGACTGTAAAACCTTAAAATTCAACTATAGCTTATCATAGGCAAGAAAGTTTATACACTAATGCTTGTGAAAAATACAGCACCATAAGGAAATTGCCGGAAATGAATGAAATTTATTGCACATATTACTGATAGTGGTACAAATAAATGATCAAATTTACAAGACAAAAAATTAACTTCGGAAATCAGTACTTTGTGTGTCGAACCCAAGTCGGAACTACAATTGTTCAAGGAATTTACCACTCAGCCGTTGTTGGGCCGACAGTTTATAATTTATATCAAGAAAATAAAACCATAATATTTGCTAAAACTTTAGGAGAATAAAACATCAGAACGGTTAAAAATTAAGGCCTGAATGTCAGAGTTTTAAATAAATCGAGAATAAAGAAATTTAAATAAATAATAAGACTAGAATTTGAAATGTAAATAATAAGATCAAAATTAATTAATTACAAGATAATGTTTCAATGTAAACAGGTTTCTACAAGAGGATTATTAGAATGAAAACAGCAAAATATCATTATATTGCCCTCTTTAAAAGAATAAATGTAAGCTAAAATAAGCAAACAAATATGTAAAAGACTTAAATAGCTCATAAACATCTTATTCGCTAAATAATTACGAGAAATATGAAACAATATTCCATACACAAGATGTTTTTCACGAAGATAGGTAGGATAATTTCATTTGTGAAAGATAACCTCCCATGCTTTGCCGGAAATGATAAGCAGTTATGAAACTTTCTTCTTTTCAGAACCAGGCTGTCAAAACCGCAGAAGCAAGACGCGTAATTTATGATGATAAAATCAAAAGTTCAATGAAACAGAATACCAGAATTATAAGTATTGTTCATTTG